ATATTTTATTGGTTTGTTTTATCGTCTTAATAACATCTTAACTAATCCTCTTAATCCATTAGGCCCACCGGGTAAAAAGTTAAAGAAGAAGCATAAACATGATATTACTTGTATTATTAGTATGAATAATGACATGAAAAACTTGTATTTTTTGTTAATAACAAACAAACAAAAGAATGTAGATGCTAAGAAACTTGCACTAAATATCCTTTTCTCTTTACTAAATAAATCCTCAAAATATGAACCAAACCCCTTTAAAAATCCAATCATCAAGAAAAACATGAGATTAGAAAAAGCATATGGAAATGTAAAGCTTTTAGGGTCTAAAATTATTGATAAAAACTTAGTCATTGCATAAACAAATGTTAATACACCCAGTAAAAAACATGTAGCAAAAGCTATTAAACGATTTCTCAAAGAGATTCTAAAGTGATGGGCAAAGTAATGATTGATAGTAGATTCTCTAGAAAAGTAACTACCAGAGCTTATTGGAAACACTAATGGCTTTCTATCTCTTTCATAAAGTGCTGCTTGTAGCGGATCTTTTGTTATTGTACTCATTTTTATGGGCTAAAAAATAAAATAAATAAAAACAAAAAAATTTAAATTTGTTTCTTTAAACAAACAAAGTGTTTTTATTTTAAATTCTTATAAACATAAATCTCTATGTAATCTAATTAAATAAAAACTATGAAAAATTAAATAAAAAGTAAAAAACTTTTTATATCAATTATTTTATTTATTTTTAATGAGCAAAATTTCGAGTGAATACCAGGAGATTCTTAAATTAAAAGATATCTTGGAAAATAATTTGTCAACTAGTGAAAATTATCTTAAAAAATGCTTAGAAAGTACAATTCCAAATTGCAGACGACTTGCATTTCTTATTATAAAAAATAAGCAAGAGTATGCAAAATTGCTTATAAAAGATCCTTATGATAAAATTAGAGCATTAGCAATTTGTTATTGCACTAATATTGATATCTTATTAGAACTTTTATCCGATCAAAATGATTGTATAAGAGTAGAAGTGTTAAAAAGACTTAACGAGCTTGAAAATGTTGATTTTAACGAATTTTTGCTTACTAAATTGTCATACTTAATTAATGATGTAAGTTTGAAAGTTAGAATTGAGTTTACAAGATTACTTAAGAAATTTAATAATTTATCTGAAGATTTTTCTAAGAAACTTTTTGATAAGAATGATATTGGATTGTTTGTATATGGATGTGAAGATGAATATAAAGAAGTAAGGGAAAATATATTGCGGTCGATTGGGTATTTTAACACATCTGAATCAATGGCTGTACTTATAGATATGCTAAATGAGGATAGTGAAAATGTGAGAGAATTAGTTTCGAGTATTTTAAAGTATTATACGGTAAATTATGATAAAAGCTGTACTAAAGAAGAACTAAAATTTTTATTAGT